CTCTGGTGTCTGCAGGCTGGTTATAAAAGCCTGTAGTGAGATGTTTTCAGGTTATTTGAAGGTTGGATAAACTCGTACACATCAGTGCTTTAGAAGAAGAACAACACGCTTACTGAGCAGATCAGGCTTCAAATCAACCTGTTAGATTATCCACTGATGAGGGAGAGGGGACGACCTCGGAGAAGGAGGACATGCAGAGGGTGGTGTGACGGAGGAGGACGGGGTGAGGTGGAGGCAGATAACCTGCTGTGGTGAAGAAGCAGCTCGAGTGCTCATCGCTGCTTCCTGCTGAAGATCAGCTGATCCTTTTTTCTTCTGTTTCCCGCCGTCACGCAGACTTTTTAAATTTTACTCTAATGATCGTATCGTACGTCTCCATGTCCTCAACGGGAGCGCTGCGCTGAACGAAACGTGCTCACACGTATGATTATCCATCTTTTGTCTTTTCAAAAACATTTTTATTATGAATCCGTTCTCATGACGATCAGTTAAACCGCACGAAACACCAAAACCTGCGTCTGCGATGAAATTCTTTGTGTTGTTTCGCCGCTAAATCAGGACAAAACCGCCGCAGAAATTACGCCTGACGCTGTCTGCATTTTCAATCATCGCCGAGGCTGCGGCTGGAAGTTAAAACCAGCCTCCTCGTGTGTCTGACATGTTTGTACAGTCTGTTTGACTTTTGTAAAATCAGATCATCTGCCGTCGCCCTGCGCTCGGAGCTAAATGAATAAATGCCGTGTCCGTCTTAGACTGGATAACCTCCGTCTTTAGACCACCGCCCACAGCAGAGCACAGCACCTGAGCCATGTGCTGTTATTCAGTTCTCTGATTTTTAGTTTGTAAATGCGTCACAAAGATGGCCTCAAACAAACACAGGAAGGCCTCCGGAGATGTTTTTAATTTACGCCTTTATTTTATTTTTCCTGCAGGATGTCCTTCTCTCAGTCTGCGAGGACGACCTCGTAAGAGGAGAGGCCGCGACAGCAAAGACTCGCCAAACTTCAGCCAGTCTGAGTCGTGGATCGAGAGGATGAAGGTGCGTGTGGCGATCATCTGCTTCAGGCTTCAGATCCTCCTGTAATACAAACTCTGCTGAAAGTGAAATCAAATCCTTTCAGGAAGTAGATCTGGTACCGCAGCGCTGTGAGACTGGAGTAAAACATGAACTCTCTGAGTTATTAGACGCTCGGAGCTCTGCTGTGAGGCAGGTCTGGGCAGTTTCAGCTGCTTTGTTTCAGCGCACGTGTGCACCCAGTCGCTTTGTCAGTGCTTTGAATGCGTTCGTGCCCCCACGCAGAGGTCTGCTGTTCATTTAAGAAAAGCACGAGCCTCACATATGGGAGTGGATCCTCGAGTCTCTGAGCGCTGCTGGATTATAATCCTTAAACTGCTCCGAGGTTTGACCTGCGAGGCTCCTCACAGCGCCCTCTAGTGGCCGACGTGCTGCAGACGCGAACATGTGAGCCTCGCAGCAAATAAAGGCGTTTAATAGATTCAGTTTCTGACCGCCAAAATAAAGGCACAGAGCAGTTTTAATGTGACGAGTAAAACAACAGGAAGTGCTGAGGCGTGCAATGATGACCTCACTGCGTGTTTCCCCCTCAGGAGAACGTGATGGGCAGCGTGGAGGTTGGCTGCGACGGCGGCTGGCTCCCTCACCCCGAGGAGCAGCTGTTCCTCGATCAGCTGTTCGCCTTCATGGACCGCCACGGATCGCCGATCCACAAAGTGCCGAACCTGGGCTTCAAGAAGAGTGAGTCC